CAATTGTTCCAATGGCAACTTCCTCTCCCAAGGCCGCATCCAGAGGAGCAGGTGAGGCAATCTGGGTGAGAAATAAAGCATGTTGTTTGTGCTGGTGGCTGGAGCACATGCATGGTGGTGGTGAGGGAGGAATACAAGAATTTTTATTGGTCTAATTACTCAAAAATGTGAGATACTTCAAAAATTTGAAATCCCCACCGGCACAGGAGCACACGCTTGTCACACAGACAAATTCTCTAGTGGCCCCGACTATACAGGAGGCAGATAAGCATCAGAGCATCTGTGGAGGAGACTACCCAGAGCTAATGCTCTAAAAGGGACTGCAAACATGAGCAAACTAGAGAATATGTTGCAGACAGAGCATCCAGCAGCATTTTTTGCAACAAACACGTCATGAGTGCCATCAGATGGAGGCCACTCGCTGGCAGCAAGAGGGGAGGTCAGGACCATGTGTCCTGCATGCTGTACCAGCCAGACATGGAGAGGATGAGCCCCCAACATCATAACCTGATATTAATTAACACCAGCTCAGCTTCCACAGCTCTTTCTCCCCATCCTGTACTGCGAGAGCTCCCGAGGCACATAGGAATGGCATTACTTATAGAATCCTAGAACAGTTTGGGTTGGAAGGGACCTTAAAGATCACTTTGTTCCACCCTCTGCCATGGGTAGAGACACCTTCCACCAGGCCAGGTAAGGGGAATTCTAGTCCTTCTAGGGGAATTTTAGTGGATTTCTCCAAGAGAAGCGGCTCATAGCTGCCCTCACATGGATGTCACCACCTCACAGCCATCAAGTGAAGCTATTAAATACCAAGCACTTCCCATGAGGCTGACATTTTTAATCCCCACTCTGCATTCTCTTTTCACACACTGGTGACTGAGGCCTTTCCCCACTGTGAGGGCTTTCCCTTCTTCCCCATTTCTCCAGCCTTATTGCTCCCTCCCACTCGCAGCTGAGAATTAAAAGACATAATAAAGAGCCCTTGAACCGGACGGCGGGGTGGGGGGTTGAAAAAAAAAAATCAGGTCCGTTGTTTGAGGCAGGGATTCATCTGCCTCTCCCTGTGGAGATGAAGAGGCCCTTTCACCCCAGCAACCAGAAGGTTGAAGCTGGATATGTGCTCACCAGTCTGGCTGTGGCTGGGAGCTGCCAGCCCAGGGGCTGACAGCAGTGACATTTCTACCTCAGATTAGAGGGGATGGTGCAAAAACGTATTAGAGTTGCTGGGGAGACTGGCCCTTCATAAGGCTGCACGCCTGGGAGTGGGCTGGGGTAGCTATGAAATGGGGCCACAGCGTGGCTTCAACCCTCTTTGCAGATTAAGGTTAATCAGAGCCTCACCAGCCCATCCTGCTCTCCCAGCAGAGTCCAGACCAGCTGGAGGTGGGAGACCAGTGCTTCCAATATCCCCACCCAGTGCCCCTGCTTTGTTCTTTGCTTCTGCCGAGTGACTTTCATTACAAATATCCTGTTATTATGGAGGGAGAGAGGGGGGGGAGAGGGCCCACACAAAGAGAAAGAAAAGGCTGCCTGCTAGAAACCCAGTAATTACAGGGCTTTGGCTTTCCTGGAGGAGGATTCATACTGATTCGACATGGCTGTGGTTCACACGTACAGCTCCCTCTGGGGGCAGGCTCCTGGTTTGATTTCATTATCAGCTGCCAGGGGAACTTTTGCCCCAAAATGAGTTCCCAAAAGGGGATAGTTGCACTTTTATTAGTTGCTTTGAAAGCAGTTTTGCTGTGCCCCCAGAAGCCTCCACGTTGGAGGCTTGGCCACAGGATGGGAGAGCACAAGTGCCACGAGTTGGGCTGTCAGAGCAGCCTTGTTATGGTCAAAATGTATGGAAAAACTTCTTATAGAATCCCAGACTGGTTTGGGTTGGAAGGGACCTTCAAGATCATCTTGTTCCAGCCCCCTGCCATGGGCAGGGACACCTTCCACTAGATCAGGTTGCTCCAAGCCCTGTCCAACCTGGCCTTGGACACTTCCAGGGATGGGAATCCACATCTCTCTGGTCTGTTATTGATATGCAGTCACCACTTATTTTAGCAAAATCTGGTTGAATCAACCTTTCAAATCTCTCCTAACCCCACACATGTGAAGACACTGTTCTCACATTGCTTATAAAGATAAGTCAAATCTCTGTTTGTCCTTTTACAAGGCAGGTAAAACATAATTCAGGTATAAATGTGTGCAGGTAAAGTCTGGCAGGACCCAAATTTGACCTTTCTGTATTCATTCTTAAGTGTTGCATGATTTTTTTCAGTTCAAGCTCAGCACCCAGAACATTCACTGTCAGGACTTCTGCACAGCTCTGGGTCAAGTACCAACCCCATTTTACACCTGGGTGAAACAATGGCTCAGATTAACCAGGCCAAGTTCATGCTGGAAATCTGAGAAAGAACAACCCAAACTGCCTCTTCCCTGCTCAAAAAGCATGTTAGACACCCTCTCCCCCTCCCTAATGCATCTTTACATATTGTACACAAACCTGAAAAGGGGCCTGTTTGGGGTAATTTTACACCATTCCTCTGGGAAATGTATTTCAGAGCTGGTTTTTCATCTCCCCTGGTGATTTACCAACAACTCTAGGACATTTGTAGGACACCTCACAGCAGCAGGGCTGATGATGAGACAGAAAACTCAACAGGAAAGATGTTTCTGCCAACAGCACATGGACCTTTAGGCAAGTTACCTCAATCCTTTGTGGTTTTATGATGTGCGCAAGACAAGAACCAGCACATCAATTCACTACAGTCTCAGAGGGGAGTATAGTCATTAGATGACAAATAGAAACCTCCTGTCATGGACAGTGCCCCAAAGTACCAGTACTTCAATCCCTGTAAGCTCACAAACTCCACTCCTGTGTGCTTCCAGGTGTCCGGATCCATTAGTCTTGGAACGAATGCAAAGTGCAGAGCTGGACTGAAGTTTGGGCTTCAGGCAACTCCAATCTGCTACTAAAAAATAGTAGAATGGTTTGGGTTGGAAGGGATGTTAAAGCCCATCTCATTCCACTCCCTGCCATGGGCAGGGACAACTTCTCCTAGACTAAGGTGGAGGTCGCTTCAAGTCCTGTCCCAGCTGGCCTCGAACACTTCCAGGGATGGGGCAGCCACAGCTTCTCTGAGCAACCCGTGCAAGGGCCTCCCCACCCTCACAGGGAAGAATTTCTTCCCTCTATCCAATCTAAATCTACCCTTCTGTGGCTTAAGACCAATCCCCCTTGTCCTTTCCCTATCCTTGTAAAAAGCCCCTCTTCAGTCTTCTTCTAAAATCACTTAGGTGAGCATTGGAACTGAGTCCCAGGTTTATGGTTTGGCTCCTTGTAAAGACAGGCCCACTCACAAAACTCAGCCCCAAGCTCAGCATTTGGTTTCCAAACATGCTGAACGTTGCTTTGGTTCTCTCTCTTAATTCCCATCATCTTTCTCTTCCTCTCTTTATTTACTTCTTAATTTCCCTGGGTCTTAATTTCCTGCCCCTTGAGCCCTCCTGCGCCCAATCCCTGCCTACATGGGATTGACTCCACAGCTTTTCCCTCTTCAGGAGAGGTCAGGGATGAAAGTTGGTGTGGGGAGAAGAAAGGCAGGAGCAGACAGAGAGGGAGCTGTCATAAAGGTCTGGCTGTGAAGCCTCTCTGAGAGAATGCCACCTGGGGAGGCTGTAACAGCTTTAGTCTGCAGTACAGGGGGATTAAAAGACTAGTTCTCACAGGACAAAAAGGAACGGAAGGAGCAGAACAAGGGCAGAATGAAGCTGCAAGGGGAGGAAAGGAGAAAGTTAAAGAGCTCAGCTCTAAAGAGCATCGGGGTTTAAAGAGCTCCAGTTGGAGCGTAAAAAATGTGAAGTGGCCTGCACAGAAAAGGGGCTTTGGCCAATGGTTCTGCTTTGCTTTTTCACACTAAGCACACACACTTCAGGCTGCTTCAATCAAGGTAATTTGGGATGTTTGGCTTTGTTCATTTTCAGGGGCAAAGGAGTAGGAGGGGGCAGCAGAAGGTTAATGAGGCTTCACCAGATGCGACAGACACTCGAAAGGAGCAGTGGCCATTCTGTGTTCTAAATAGCGGCTTATGGCTTTGATCCTCACCCCTCCTGTCCCTCAAATCCCCCTTGTCCTTGAGGGCCACGGAAGAGTGAAGGGGTCTGGGAATAGGAAGGAAGTACGTGGAATTGTGGGATACCCTCCTCAAGTGCTGCTTGAGCAGCCTTTTCACCCCTTCCACGAGGCCTGGAGATGGAGAGTGTGACTGAAAAGGTAAGGAAAGAAGGAGACTTGAAATGCTTTCCAAAAGAAAAGAAAAAACCCAAAACCTCAATGCATCAATTGCAGGACATGTAAAGGCCAAGGAGCCACCAACATGGACAAGCAGCTGCACTCCAACAGGGAAACCTGGCACTCCAAAACTTCTTGGAGCATTGCTCAGGTATTGCAGGAAATGGGGCTTCTTAGGGCTGGGTAACCTCAAACCAAGGACTGCTTTGCCAAATTAGCAGGGTTTGGACATGGCCAATATCCTTGTGAATAATACAGTATATTCTTCTCAAAGACAGGAGGATTTTTCCAGTTTAGTCTTCAAAAACCTTTGAAGCAATGGCAGCAGAGGAAGGTGAGACACCACCCATGAGTCCAGAGTTCCTCCCATGAACACACGCCCGAGCCTAAGGCACTCAGAGAGTAGAGAAGCAGGTTTCCAAGCAGCCACAGGACTGTAACATGTTCTCTCATCTTTGATGTGACCCATCTTCCCAGCTTCACAGGCTTCCAAGCCAGGAGAGATGCTTCAGGCACAGTCAAATGTCTAAGGCAGGTTTTCCAGGCTATTTCAGCAGCTCAGCAGAGCTGGGGGCTGGTGGTGCTCTGTGCACAAATTCTACTCAGAGGGGAAAAAGGAAAGACTTTGTAACATAATAAGCAAGTTCCAGACAGGAATTAGAGTGCAGCACATCCAGCGGAGACAGGGGCTCGAGTGGCATTAAGGTAGGAAGAATATAATTACCTGACCTGGACTGTGGCCAGGATAAAGGTATTAATTTATTTCAACAAAGTCACAAGTGCCAAACCCTGGATTTTACATTTAAACCCAGATGATAGCAAATCACAGCACCCTGATTCTATTCTTCCAACTTTTGGCTGGAAGGGACAGTCTTCCTGATAGGTTTTCATCCCTAATGCCTACCTTGAGAGCTCACCCTCAGCTTCATTTGGGAAGATCAATGCCATCCCAGTAGCTATGGATCTGCAAGGCAATCCCTGCACCTTGCAGGACAGAGGAACATCTTCCCAGTCCCCACAAATTGCCTGCAGGAGGTGAAGCCACACTCGGTGTCAAATTCAGCCCCAAGTTCGATCTGGTATTAATTATCCCCTGCTCTGATGAGATAAACGCTTAATCCTCTGGCTGTTGACACTGGAAATGGCCCAATCCACGCCGGGGTGGATATTATCCCAGGGAACTAGGCTTCAGCCACGATTCCCACATCATGTGCCATACGAATGTTCACTAGCTTGCAGGGAATGGATTCCATGGGGTGAACAGGATCCTTCTGTGGCACAGCTAATCCACAATAATACATGACCCAAGCATTGATTGTATCAGGTTTTTCTTCCTCCATTTTTTTTCCTTCAACATAGTATTTCAAATTTCACATGGAATTTCTCCTTTTCAGACATTCCCTACCTCCTTAGAGCTTACCAGCTTTCCTGCTCCAAAGGGAACTTCCTAAGCTCCACTGCCCAAGGGACGTGGGGATGGGTCTGCACAATCCCTGCTTCTCTGGGAGTCTTTCTCTGCCTTCCAGGAGAAAGGCAATAGATCTCCACATGGCTTCCCTGGTTTCACATTCCCTGGCAAGGCTAAACCAAGGAGTTTGTGTTGCAGGGAGAAAGCAGGAATGCTGATGCTGCCAGAGGTGGGAAACTGTCCTGATTCCTGATGAAGCTGTTAAGGACTGTGGTCTTTCCTGTGTCTGAGCATGTGTGTGCCAGGAAAGAAAACCACTGTGTGCCAGGAAGAAAAACCACTGTCCCACACCCCACTGTCACCTGTCCTGCATTTTGTGACACCTGGGAGATGCTTGTCCCCACCTTCCCACTGCCACCTGGCCTTTCTGGCTTCTCCCCTACTTGCTCTTCTCTTCACAAGGGCTGCCTTAGAGACAGTTGCTGATCAAAGGCAAATTTCAAACCCAGACAAAGAAATAAGTTTGAAATAAAATATCATTGCACACAGGTACTTGGGAGCGCAGGTTTGCTTCCCATTCAACAACAAAACAGGTTTTCGAGACAATTCTACCCAGATTCAAACAGCAGCACCATAAACAGCTGATACAAAGGGTTGAATATAGGAAATACAATGGGGAGTCAGTGCGTGGTGGGACTTTTCCCCCTAAAGACACAATTAAACAACCAAGCTTTGTCTCAACACAGGAATGTTTAGCTTAGAGTGGTGCCCTGAAGTTCTTACCACTGTATTCTGTTGTCCACAGGAGCAGCTCCTGCTTCCAAGGAGCTTCCAGTCAACTAGGGAGAAACTGAGGCAGGGGGAAATAAATTCTTTCCTCAATGCCACAAAACCAGCACGAAGTGAGATGGAAGAGATCACACACATGCAGAGGGACCCTGGAGAGCTGTCCCCCACCAGAAGCACATGCTGCTCTATATGTAACGTGACACAAGGCTGCAACTCTTTGAGATCAAACCTGGCTGCTCTCCCCACCCTCCCTTTAGCAAGAGGTGGCTGAAGTGTTCTGCAAATTCCTTCTACAAATTCCTGCAGAAAAAGGGAATACGACACATACAAAGTGAGCTAAAGTTATTCTGTCAACCTTGCTTGTTTTACCAAAGCAGTTTTTCTAGTCTTAGTCCAATGGAAATAAACTTCCAGCCCATCTGAATACAGAAGTTTGCCTTTGCCATCATTGTGCTCAATTTAATCCCAAAATTACAGTGAGGCAAAGAACTAGCAGGAGAAAAAAGCTGAGCTTTTTATTGGATTTTTTTATTCCTTAACAACAAGATCCAGAGAGGGGCTATTTGCTCCTGGGCAACTTCACCTCAGCTGTGAGACCAGACCAAGGAGGGAATGGGAGATTGAAGCCCAGCCAGTGAGAGCATGAGAAAGGGCTCAGCCTAAATGAGACAAGAAAGGGGGTTCTGGAGATTAAAACAAAGATCTCGCAATCCAAACTCCTAGGTCTGTTTCCAACTCCAATACTGACTTCAAAGTGCATGTAAGTAAATCTACTTCATCTCTCTCTGCCCCAGCTCCTCCCATGTAAATAAACACAGAGGGGGATGTTCCTGCTGGTACAACCCCAAATCATGGCTACACCATCCCAGCAAAGCATCAGCTCCCAAACTGGCAGTACCCACAAATTATTTCCTGAATATTCAGTCATTTGCATAATTGCAGAGATGAGGTTTAACAGCAGAGATAACTTGGGCTTCCTGGCAAAGGAAAAGCATCAGCTCATTCTTCCAGTGCCATATCCAGTGTGTGTAAGGACTGTGCTAGACTTTTGCCCTGACCTGGAGCTGGTAGGGCATAATTTACAGTCCTTAATTTAATCCTTAATATTATCCCTAATTAATGACAGACCAGGGTCCTGGAACTCCAAACCACACAATTAATTAGGAAGCAATAGCAAACAAGCACAACAAGAGCATCTGGGAAGGCACCAAGCACAACAGGGCTCTGCTGCATCATCCCTGGCCAATGGCTCCCGCTCCCACTCCTGACAGCTGGGACAGTAAATGGAAGCAACAGGAAAAAGAAGAGAAACGAGCCTAGCAGTGAAAGACAGGGTGAAGCAGCTGCTCTCCAAGTAGGTATTTAAGGATATATTTGAGCCCTCCTTCCCAATAATGTCTGCTTTGGGACTATCCCAAAGCACTCTCCAACTCTTTGCCTAATACACTTTACGCCTCCCTCCTTTTCCAAGCAAGTGGCCAATCTACCATCTCCCAAGTGTTACTGCTGAGAAACAGCTCTGATAAAGTGATGCAAAACTGCTTTGCTTCATTATATTGGATTTTGCCTAATCTTGGCATGTCCTTAGAGCTCCCTAAAAATATATTTGCAGACAGCAAGCCAATCCCTTCCTGTATTTTCACAAAACACACAGAAGCAGGAAGCAGCTCACACTGCTGTGGGTCCATTATTAAGCAGCTCTTCTGGGAAGAGCAGAACAGGCACATTGGAGCTGCATTGCCTTCCCTTCAAATGTGCCATGGAGCATACAGCTCCAAGGAACAGCAGGCAGTCTCTTCCTACCTGATACTTCACGATTCTATGAGATGAAATGCCTCATGTAGTACTGTAACAGACAGTAGCTGTGATCCTGCATGATTCCCTCTCCTTTGCTCTGTAGAGAATGCCTTGATCAGCTACATCCAGCACTGCTCAGATTATATTTCTCCCAGAAATACACCAAAAAAGATCATCAATCCAGTCTGTTGGTGCATTTCTGTCCTTTTGTACTGAGACCTGAGCAGCATTAGCTCACAAACCACTCAAGTCTTGGACAACCTGGGGAAGCAGCTGCCAAATCCATGTCCATTCTGTGCCAGGTAGGACATGGTGACCTGACAAGCTTCCCAGAGCCCTCTGCACAGAACTATTGCACAGCAAACCAAAGCAGGTGACACACAATCAACACCAGAGCTCAGGTGGTACTCTCAAGCCCTTTGCTGTGATCTGACCCGCTGGCTGTTCATCCCTGGCTGTTTCCTCCTCTTCCAGAACTTCCCGTGACAAGCACTTTTGTGTGGGAGCTGATTTCCTTGCTGTGTCACACATGGGTCAACTTCTTTTCTCCTGTGCCTGCCAGGTGACAGCCCCAGGGACTAAAAGGTGACTCAGAAGGGGAATCCTACAGTCTAGCCAAGCTGCCATTCCTCCTTAGCCTGAGGAGAGTTCTCTTTCCCAGGATCACAGTCCACCTGCATCCTACTGATCAGGAAGATGATGAAGAACTAGACCATGTCAGAGCAGTGGCAGTGGGAAGCAGCTGATCTTTGTCACTAAGGCAGGACAGCAGCTTTGATTCCTGCACTGTTCTCACCTCCCAGGTATTTGGGCAGCTGGACACTGACTTCAGGACTATCACCACATCTCCACACTCCATTCCCTCCCCATCTTCTTTCTAGTAACACCAACTGGGCATTGCAGGCACAAGGTAGGATGATTAAAGAGCAGGGACAGCATTTCCCCTCCCTTCACCTTCCTGCAGGAACAACAAGATCCCATCACATCAAGTCTCTCTGTGCCAGTGCCAGGTGAAACCCGATGCCACAAAAGCAAATCTTACGTGCTATCTCTGCCTTCAGATGTTACAGTTGTTCAGAAATATGGGCAAGACTATAGGGTTTGAAAGCAGCCTGAATATCCTTCTCCAACTGCTCAGGCATCTTCATTCCAGGCTCTCCATCAGGTCAGCAATGGAACAGATACACAGCAGATGTTCAGTCCCTGACACTGGGTTTAATCCACCATCTGGCCGGAAGAGAGAAGCCTGGAAGTAGCTTCCTTTAGCACTGGCTGGAAATATTCAGTACAAGAAGCTCCCAGACATGGTTAGTAAACACTGAAAATCAAATCATCCCATGCCTGTGGCTGCTTCTCTCCCCCACTGCTGGCTCAACCAGTCCTAGTGCTTTGTCCAGTCCACCATAGGCAGATGGTGCCACAGCTGCAGCCTTGGGCTCCTCACTGGAGCCCTTCAGGACCAAGAACTCCAGAAGAATGTCCAAGAGGCAGAAAACCAGGTGCCTGAAAGAGAGAGAAGACAAAGCTTAGGCTGGTCAGGGCACAGGAAGCAAAGCTCACATGAGAAAGGTGTGTTCTGACTGCCATCAGGGGAAAGAGGAATGATCTCAGACCCTGGAAGAAACGTTTTAAGGGATGATTCAGCTTTTATTCCACCTCCCCCAAACCCTTCAGTGTGCATTGAAGCTGCTGAGCAGCACAGAAAACACAAACACACCTCCTGGAGGGAGGTGGCACATGTGTTTCACAGGATCACTGAGGTTGGAAAAGACCTCTGGGATCATCGAGTCCAACCTTTGACTGAATGCCACCTTGAGCACCGAGTGCCATGTCCAGTCATTTCCTAAACCAGGAATGAGGACTTCAGCACATCCCCAGCCAGCCCCTTCCAGTGTTTAACAACCCATTCAGTGAAGAAATTCCTCCTGATGTCCAGTCTGACCCTCATTTCTCTGCAGTCCATTACCAAACCCTTGCTTTCCAAACTCACAGCGCTGGGCATAGACAAAAATACCCCCCTACATGGATCTGCAGCTCCTCCAAAAACAAACTAAACTAGGATTTGTCTTACTTCCCTGACATCCCCTAACTAAGCAGGCCTAACAACATAATTAATATGACTCAATAACCTCCAGCCAGACCAAGGTCCTGGACATGCACCCTCATCACAAACAAGCCAGATGCCCTCTAATACTGCAAGTCTGGGATAATGAGCCGGATAAGTTTCGTGCCAAGCAGCTGGAAGCAGGAATTGCATGGCAAAGCCCTGAGCACAGCTCACAGACCCCATCAGAGGCCATCAGGGTAAAGACTAAAATCCACATACCTGTTTATCACAGGCTGGCTCAGGGACTCCAGCACCAGGTTCCAACTCATCCGACACTTGCTGGTCCCAAGGATTTCTTGGATCACATCTGTAAAGAGACAGTGCTTTAGGAACTGCACATTTCCACAGGTCAGTTTTCTCCTGGTGGGTGCTGAATCGCAGCTTGTGATGGTGCTCTGAGCCCGAGGCATCTCATGCCCAGCATCACCATGACAGGGAACAGCCAGGGACAGGACGGACTGCCAGGAAAGTGTTCCAGGCTGGAAGGGCACATACTGGCAGTGCTTTTTGATTACCAAAGGATAGTGAGGGCCCCTTACACTGCAGCAAGGAGTTAAAAGTTCAGACTGTACTCACATGGATTAGCCAGCAGGTGCTTTAATGCCTAAGGTCCCCAAGTAAAACTTCAAGAGAGGGAAATCCAGTGCAACTGGGCTAAGGATTTCAGTCCAGTGGAAAAGCCGCAGGCTTTGCCTAGTGACTCTTCTCTGCCATGGGACCCTTTGGCAGCAGGTGGGAGCACAGTGTGCCTCTGGTTTTCCTAAGCCCTGCCTTGGGTGAGGTGGCTTGGCAGGAACTGCGTCACCACTCTAAGCATGTGGGAATCACCAAGACACCCGTCCTTCTTCTCTGAGCTGTGCTGCTCCCCAAATACTTATGCAAACTATCCAGAACTGGGAAACTGATTTTTGCTTGCAGGAAACCATTCAAACTTCAAGGGTCATGAACCTTTCCTAGTGCCTTGGCACAAGCAAACTCCATCTCAGTGTTTAACCACATTTCCACAGATTCCAGTGCACTGGAGGGTTCTCCAGCCACTTTTCTTTCCCAAGGGCAACTGACAAGTCCCTGGGACACACTTACTAGGCAAAATCCCCATCAGGCTCTGCAGGGCCTGATCTGCTGTTGCCTTCTTCTGCTCCTCTGTCCTGGGGGGTTTAGGCACTGCTGGTAAAACTCCTCCGGGCCAGATGGATTCCTGGAGCAACTGGAGGTACTGGACCCAACGCTGGGTGCAGGTCAGGTTAAAAATCTGCACTTCCAGCCACCTGTGGGCACAGGGAGACAGAGAAAGGTTAGGAAAAGTCAGGCTTGGGACCAAATCAGGCTATTTCTGCCCATCAGGAGCCCTGGAAGGGTTAAATCAGCTTGCTGCATTTGTTAACATGCAGTTTTCAAGTCTGCACAGCAAATATTTTCTTAAGTATTAATTAGCTGAGTTTCCCATGCACCAGAAGTAGGATATGATCCCTTTGTTATGGACAAACATGTGTGTAAAGTCACAGGGGAAAAGCGAAGGCCATGAAAAGCTCCATCATCCTGCTAATCACAGGAATCCAAGTGAATCACTGATTCCTAATGGAAGCAAAGCTAAGGGATACAACTGGTCTGAAACTCATAAGTTATCTCTATGCACAAGCCAATACAGAGATGGAAAAACTGGTGTTTTAACTAAAAACAACACCCAGGAAAGACTGGAAGGACATAAGCATGTTCTGGCAGCCACTGTTCCTCTCATCAGTCCCTCTGCCACCAAGACAGTCAAGGATGTCTTGCCTGGAGACCAAAACAAGGTCCAAGGATGGTAAGTCATGAATATCCTACTGCTTTGCTCTGCTCTTGGTCCTCTGCTTTCCTACTCTTCACACCTGCTCCATCTACTGATGGCAAGCAATGGAATCATAGAATCACAGGATGATTTGGTTTCGGGACCTTAAAGACCATCTTGTTCCACCCCCTGCCATGGGCACGGACACCTTCCACTAAACCACATTCCTCCAAGCCCAACCTGGCCTTGAACACTTCCAGGGATGGGGCAGCCATAGCTTCTGTGAGCAACCTGTGCCAGGGTCTCACCACCCTTATAATAAAGAATTTCTTTGTTCTCATCCAAAATCCAACAGAATTGCTGGTGGGCCCTCCTGCTGAGTCAGGACTGTGTCCTTTATACACTAACAACCTGCAGACCCTGAAATGCTGCTCCACAAAACAGGCTGGAGGCATTTGCAGCTGCACCGGGTTTGTCCCCACCAGACAAGTGCTGGGAGAGTTTCTAAATCAACCATATGGACCCTCTTTCCTGGATGTGAAATCCCTTCCAATGTAACAGCAAAAGCCAGAGCTGTCAGTCAGAACCTGCCACTGCCTGAAATCTTTCCTCTCAGAATTAGGAGAAGCTATGGATGAATCCCTGATGCCACAGGGTTTCCCTGTGGTCCTCTGGTTTAGCAGGACTTGGCGATGAGGGTCCAGTGCCACTGTCCTTGTCGGCAGGAGGCTTTGGAGCAAAGACGGGAAAACCAGCACAGTGCTGGGGTAGGGAAAAGGCTTGTGATTTTGCCAATACTTCAAGATTCCCAGAGCAGAGGAGTCGGCCAGCAGGGCCAGGAGACCCATTCCTCTTGGCAGCTGGTGTTCGTGCTTGCAATTCCGTCACCACTATTCCCCAGCAGCTCCCAGTGCATTCAAGAGCACAGGCCCTGCCAAGGCAAACTTTATTTAACCTGCGCTCTGCCAGACTGTCTGCATTCTTCCCAGGCGAGCCATTCAGGTCAAGGGTGTCTTTACTTGGGCTAATGTGAGTGGAGAGTCGGGAATAGCAGCACCTAAAGGTAACCAGGGCAAAGGAAGCAGGTTGTCATCAGGGACAGTGTGGCAACATGACGTTCCCTTTGTCAGTAGGAAATGAGGTGCCAAGCTGCAAGTCTTGAGGGACGAACACCCAAGAAATGTCCATTAAAAATCTGAAAAGGAGCCTTGGTGCAGCAGGAAATGAGGTGCCAAGCTGCAAGTCTTGAGGGACGAACACCCAAGAAATGTCCATTAAAAATCTGAAAAGGAGCCTTGGTGCAGCAGGAAGGTCTCGTATTCTCAGATTAAGGTCCTACTGGAGCATGGGCAATGATCCCAGTGATCCCACTAATGGGAAGACACATTCTTTATGCTCAGCCTCACCAGGGACCACACATACTGATGTTGCTACAAGATCATGCCAGAGATCTGAAGCTTCCACCTGTCTTAGAGGACAAAGTGTCCCAGTCCTGCCCGGGAAAGCCCATGTTGGAAATACAATTAAAATTGTTTTAATATCCAGCCATCAGCAGATTTTAACACTTTGGATCATGTTAAACCCTCCAGCCATTCCTAACCAAATCAGAGTGTTAAACTGTGACTTTCCCAGGGCCAAGAGCTTTCATTAACATAGTTTTTTATTAACATGTTTGTCTACACAGCCTGCTTTCCTGGCTGAGAAAACATGTGACAAGCAACAGAAATTCAGAGCCTTGGGGAGAGAGCTGCCAACAGTCAACCTGCACCAAGGAGATCAGATTGAACATTGACTTGAACCTCATTACAGCAATAGCCACTTTCCAGCGTTAAAAAGGTTGCAGAATGCAAAGAATGAGCTTTCTTTTCCTTAGAAACATTCCTAAACCAGCAAAATATCAAGAAAACACTGAGCAGAGAGAAAGCTGAACCTAAAGACAGCACATGTTTCCAGGCAGCTCAAGGGCAAGCTGAGAACTGATAAATGCTGGAAGGTCCCACACAAACAACATCACATTTTCAGCCCATTTATTTCCATAAAATCACCACAATTAGGCATCAAGACCTATAAGTAACACCAATAAATCTCATCATATGTGCACATACTGTGATTAGGTGAGTGCTCACAGGTCTTGCATCTCACAGTTGTGAAACACCATTGATGGTTTTTCTTCCTTAGTCTGGCAGCTCACTGCCTTCCACTTTGGGAAGCAAAGGGCAGGATCTGGGAATGGCTCCATGGGTCTTGCACCAATAAATGCCACAGCTCCATGCAAGTTCCTGAGAAGAGGTCAACTTGCCCCATCACATGGCGCTCAGACAACTGATGAAGAAGCACCCAAACGCACAAGTATACAATAAAAGAAGGAATTAAACAGGAAAAGGGACAAGAAAGAAGGAGAAAACAAAGCTGGGTGCACATGACACAAAGACTAACGCAACTCTGCTCTGGGTCCCCTTTTGCTAGTCTACCAGGGTGTGGAGCCATTCCAAAAGCACCGGGAGAAGAACTGTCTAGACTGGTCCATCTGGCTCTAAATCCCCCCTGGGAGAGCAGCTGATGCTCTCAGATACTTCAAAAGAAAATATCCAAACCTGACACAAAGAGTTTTCCAACCTCCGCTCAACCTGAATGTGTTAAAGTCACCACCGACACCCATTTGGAGGGAATAACATTCCATTTGCACAACATGCACAGGGGGAGCACCGGGAGCATTTAAACTGTGAGGAGCAAAATAATTCATAGAATCATGGAATATCAGGAATTGCAAGGGACCCACAAGGATCATCAAGTCCAGCTCCTGGCCCTGCACAGGATACCCCAAGAATCCCACCTCAACTCCCACTATTGTTGCAGCTCAGGGAGGGTCACACCAATGTCATTGAAAATTCCTACCTGAGTAAACCCCAGAAAACGGAAAACTGATTTTTCCACCAGGCAGACTTGCTGCACCAGGATGGGGATTAACAGCACAGGAACTCCAAAGATTTGCTGGTTCAAAGCTGACCTTCGCCAGCAGGTCACAGATGATTTTTTATGCTATTAAAGGCCTGAGCATTTGAGATCCATGTGCCACATTGAAAGCACACACAGGCTGTTCCCAGGTAGAAATAAATCCACCAAGAAACACAAATAGACCTATCTTTTTTTTATTTTTGGGTGGCTGATGGGTTACTATTTCCATTCTGCTATTTCATGAAGAAATAGCCTTAATAAGAAAGACAGAAAAAACACACCTATCACTGAGCCATCTCCTTACACTTCAACTGAGACCAGAAATAGATAAAGTGACCTCCTGGGCTCAGACATTTGAATGCTTTGATAATGCCCAATGCAAAGAGACAGATTCCAAAGGCTATGGGGTCCTGGAAGATAATCTGGAGGTGCATAACTTGCCCATGTTGTAAGGGACCTCTGTTGGAAATAGCTGCTGGTGGGGGAATGAAATGGCTGCTAAAAAAGAGCCAAATTAACGCCGTGCCTTAAGATGGAACTCCAAAGTCAGCTGAAGGGATCCATTAAGACTGGAACACCCTGGGAATGAAAAACAAGGCCTGGCGGGGACATACCTGGGCCTTCCTTCAGCACCTTGATGCAACAAAGGCTGCTAAGAAGGAGCAGCCTATGGAAAAGGCAGACTGGGAGTCAGGGACAGGCAAGACACGGCATCTGGGATCAGTTTTACCTGGGTGGATGCACTCACTGAAGTGGACTATCCAGAGGGTTCACCTGCAGATGGAGGGAGCTCAGCAAAGAAAGGTTGGATAGGTTGGATTTGCTTAGTCTGAAAAATAAAGATGGACCAGGAATGGCCAAAGACATACAGTACTCCAAATTTACTAGAAGCTGGTCAAACTCTGTTTTTCTCACCCATCAAGGTGAGGATAAGAACTGAGATCACTTGAGCTAAGGAACAGTGAAGTCAAATTTTTCTGATTATAATTAAAATCTGAAGCTATAGCAATTATGATTTCCCCAAAATTGGGGATTTTAAGGATTTAGACAAACACAAACTGGAGACCACATTAGGAAGAAGACTAAGATGAGAGAGCCCCTCTGCATTAGCTGTATAAATACAAACAGCTCCATAAATATACATGAGCTGAGTGTAAGAGTAGCAAGTCCTGCTCAACACTGACCACCTTCCACCGCAGAACAAGGCCCCCCTTTCCCTGAGGAATTCAGCATGGCTATCCAGGAGCTCAAAAAAGGCCCATGAGACTAAGGTAGTAAAAATGATTGAAGAAAAAGACAACATCTGGAAACCACAAGTCATGCAAACATGACTCTTGCTGAAATCAAGAAAGGCTGGTGCTTAAATCACCAGACCAAACCACAGAATATCCAAATTCCTCCCCAAACTGTGCCTTGAACCACAAGAATATCCTTGACTCAAGAGGAGCAACATTTCAATGCTGTGACTGCAAAACCTTTCTGAGCAAAGCCTGTAAAAATGAAGCAGCAGCTGCAGTGGGCACAGTTAAAATTGAGAAACATAAA